CTATTATATCATCCATACATATGTATGTATATTATACATATCGAGCCCTAACCGCCAAAATAACGTAAGCGCCTTTTTTTCAAAATTTTCTTTTTGATGCAGAAATGTATCTAGAAGCTCTAGGAATATTTCTGCATCAAAAAGAAAATTTTGAAAAAAATGTCGCTTACGTTATTTTGGCGGTTAGGGCTCGATATGTTCATGTATGTTCATCTGTTATCAACGGGCCCAGTTAAAATGATTTCAGTGATTTTTTAATTTTCGCCTTGCTTTTTTATCGATAGACTACTAAACCTGTGCCTAAAGCCATCTACGAATCTCAAAACCAGTTGCAACAAATGAGTAGTATACATGTACGTACAAAGCCGTATGCATACGGTGACCATCCGTCCGGTATTATACGGGACAGCACTCTTTTTTGGCCCATTGTCCTGGTAATTTATTTATTTTATACGGGACGCCAAATGCTCTGTATTTCTTTTAATGTCCTGTATTTGTCCCGTATTCGGTGTTCCGACGCCTTAACAGCTCATTAAATTGTTATGCCTATGAACGAGTTTTAAGTGATGTTGGTATATAATCGTAATTTTCTTTATAAACAGTTATTATTTTCTAATCTGAATGCCTGTGATTCGAATCGATGAATACATACAGTGGCCAAAATAGAAATTAGGACTCGATATTTTAGTAAGTTTTGGCTATTTTTCCTTAGTTTATTTAATGTTTATTATTTATTTTATGAAAGTAAGGCTCTTTTCCTAACAAAAGCCATATAATACCAAATTCCCAACTTTGTGCAAAAAACTATAAAACTTAATTCTGCGACGTTTCACCAAAATTTCAAACTTTTCAATTAGAATCTTTAGAAAAAAATTCGGTTTACAGTTTTGTAACTCATTAAAATTGAGTACAATAAGTTGCGAGGGGAAAATACTGCTCATTTGCTTCTCTTTCAAAAAAAGTGGTCGAACAAACATACTTTGTATGAAAAAAATGGGTAACACCGTGAAAAAAAAAAAAAAAAAAATACCAAACATTAGTGGTAAGCCTTACCGACTTAAAATTGCACTAAAATTTAACAAATTTTACGGTGTAAAAATCTCGTGAAAATTATCCTACAAATTTGTGATGTTACTATAAGGATACTGTTTCAGGGAAAACAGGATCGAAAAATTTGCAAAATTATTTTTTGTCCCGTATTCGACTCTCATAAATATGGTCACCGTACGTATGCAAGGCCGGAGTTTGCATAATCGGAAGTAATAATCAATTGTACCACAATTCCTCAATTCCTCTTCCACTGCGTATGCCTAAATGTATGCGGCCAAGTATGCGACAAGTACGTTTTAGAATTTATCTATCCTTCAAACACATTTTGTCAAAACAAAATAAATACATATCGCTAGCTTAGAAAGAAAAGTTGCTAAATCCCATTTTAAAAATTTTACAGGAGGGGAAAAAATGTTCCTATAGCCATTTTCTTTAACTAGACTTTGAATCAAACATTTTGCGCGTTTAAAGCAAAGCAAAACTCCATAAGAATCAGAAGGATTCGATATTTATTAAAAGATGTCGTATTATTTTGCCCTTATCGGATTTGTGGTGCTTCTTTTGGACTTAGCAAATTTTCCTTTTATTGCTTATGAAGAGGAAAAAATAAAACAAGTACCTTTATAATTTTCGAAACGATGCGTATTCAATTTCTCTAGCCTCCTATATCAAAATATGAGTTTTCATAAAAAGTGGACTTAGCAACTTTTCACTCTAAGCTAGCGACATGTCTTTAAAGTTTTTTTTTTTAGTATCCTTCATTTTAAGACTATGAAGTTTAAAAATTAAATAAAGGTAAAATTTAAAAAAGAATAAAAAATCCGTCCCCCGAGTACTCGAACTCGTATCTCTCGAATAGTACACCAGTGCTATTTACACTCGGCTATTGCGACTGTTAGAGCGACGCAAGCAAGTGGCAAAAAAGCTTTTCACCACATATGTGGTGAATGAGAAGGCTTTTTTTCTAAGACTAGAATAACAAAGGTCTTTCGAATTATCTTGCCATTAATTTGTCTTGCGAAAGACTTTTTACTTTCTCTTAGCCAAAATTGCCCTGTTAGGCTAGTAAGCAATATATGCCGCTATTGAAAACAGCGCCATCAGCCACAGTTTGTGCATGTAAACGCCAAAAGCCAACATCATTAGTATAGAAATTACTCACAAGACAACCGATTCCCATGCCAATGGCAAAGTTCACGCAACGCAAAGTTTATACTGAAATCTGGACACACAAAAAAGGCAGTTGATATAAACGTGTTAATAAAAAGTAAGTAGTAAATAGTTATCTGCCTGAAACGAAATTGCAATCCCCACCACCACCTACAAAAATTGATTCGTTTTCAACGGTTATTACTCGTAATTCCATTCTTAACTTCCCATTAAATTTTCGCACAATTATCACAGTAGACAATAATACTACACTGATTGTTTGATTTCTTATCTTTTGTAAGTTATTGTACCCCAAATATGAATGCCACTGCCGCCGCCAACCACAACGCTGACGGTGACGCCATACAATTTCGTCACCTGGCACAGCACTTTGACTTTACCAACGCAAAGCTGGCCGGGACTCAGATACAATGAAATAAAATATTTGTATGTCGCGACGCTTATTAACGTTACTACGAGTGTGGATTTAGTGTTGATTTGGTTGTTTGTGCACCCCTCGCATTTGTGCGATCGTCCGCCGCGAACGCTTTTTATTTATCTCTTCATATTGTGAGATTCTCCGATTGTACGTTACTCTTTTAAATACTTCCACTTGATTTGCCTGAATTTGCTAATTTTACGTTCTATTGGCACTTATTTTCCGGCTTTTGCGGCTGTTGGTGGTGGCTCTGTAGCGACGGTTACATATTGTGCCTATCGTCGTTTTTTCCTTCTTTCATTCTTGTTTTCTTTGGCATTCACATTTGGCGCGCGCCGATGATCGTTGGTATTGTTTTGTTGTGAATTGTGGCAGCGTTTTCGACCGGTATTTTTGAATTCTCAGCACGTTCGTATGTACATATGTGCGCTCGCTCGCGCGCTGATCGCTGAGAATTTCCGCATCGTGCCAACTCTTACGGCCATTATTTTTCGACAATCGCCCCGCTCGATATCTGAGTCAGTCACCGACTGCTATCGTCGTCATCGTATGTAACGCGCAAAATATCTTTCGTTTTGAGTGTTATCAACATAATCCGTCTAACATTAGTTTCGAGTGTTGATTTTTGTGCGTAGATTACAAAACTGGCTGTATAAGCTTTAATGAGCGTAATACCAGCTTTTAATGAATTTCAAGTGTTTAAACTTTGTCTAAAGTCAATTAACGCATTACCATTGTTGTAGCTGTCGTAGAAATAAGCGTAGTTACCATTATTTTAAGTGCTTAACGCTCGTGATTGCTACGTTGCTGAAGTTCAAGTGCGAGTCATACTACATATATACGACGCCCATGCAGCCTAATAATGCAATGAGCAGGCGAAACTTGTTGAACGTGTCTCATCGACCTCACAGTGTCACAAACGTGTTAAATGTGGAAGAAAAAGTTGTTTGCAAGTAAGTGAAAGTAAGTGGTGTGGCGTGGTATGGCGTGGCGTGTGGCGTGGGGTGGCGCACATTGCACGCGAACCTGCCGTCTCGCTACGTGTTGCACCAACAGCTGTAGCTATATGAGTGCCACACGTCGCATACGTAACATTCTCATTCTTTCGGGTGACGTATACGCCGCCGCCGCCTGGCACTGGCACCTGCCGCCAATCGCCCAACAGCCATCTGGCCACCCTTGTGCGCTGCACAGCCACTGCTTTTGTTGTGTATTTTAAAGTGAATTTATTTATGTACGAGCGGGTGGGTGTGTTTCTGTTTTCATGCGCTCTAACTGAATTTATGTTTTTATAATTGCTTTGTATTTGTTTTTGTTTTCTCTTCGGATTTGTTTTGCTTGCGACATTTACGTTGTCTGCAAATATGTACATATGTATGTATGTATGTATGTAGTTTACTCAGAAACCAAGTGGCGTTGAGAATTTCAAAGTTGTAAACAAATAAGTAAAAAATAGATAATTAATTGAATAATTGTCGAGGCACCACATTTACCATTTCTACTCAATTTTGCTCGCTTTATTTATGCAAATATTTATTATTTTAGTGCAATATTGTGTATGTGCGCCAATATGTGTTTATGTATGTATGTATGTATGTATGTATGTATGTATGTATGTATGGATGCATGCATGCAAGTATTGTATATACAATGTACAATTCACCTAAATCGCATACATACTACATACATGGCTACCTAACAATTTACATATACATATATATGTATGTAGAACTTTTTCGATGCCCACTCTTCATTAGCTTAGCGCTTTTAGTTTTCAGTTGTGAATTTTTGATTTTAGTGTGTCGCACTCCCGCTGCGTTGTGTTGTTAATTCATTATTCATTGTTGGCTGTGCTGTTTTTGTGCTGATTTTTATATTCTATCTATTCTACTTAGTATATTCATGTAGAGTTGTGAGCGCAGAGTTGACGCTTTGGCATTGCTGCGCTATTGAAAGAAATAAATTTTTTCCATTGTAATATTTTGCAAATGTGCTGCATTGTTTGGACTTCCAAGACTAAATAATATTCAATAGTAAACAAAATATGTAGCAGTTCATTAGCCAAGCCGTCCGTCAGTTATGCAAATAAACAGTCTATCAAAGTGTTTGTTAGTGCAATCTTGAATAAGTGTACTATATGCGGAATATTTTTTGTTGATCGTTGAGAAATCGAAACAATACGGAAAATTTACATAGTTGTGATTTCTGTAACGCTACGCTGCTAAATAAAATATATACATTTTTTATATGTACTTAATATATGCACTATATCTAGTCATATCGAACTAAAAACATTTAATAAAATAATCACGCAATTTAAATATTTTCAAAAATTAAATTTCAAACATGAAATTTCTTCTAGGACTTGCCAGTTGGGCAACAGATAGTCGTGACAAGTACGATGGCAATCAAACAGAAAAGGTGAGCACAATATTTAGTATTATGTATATTATGTATGTATGTACACTAGGCATGTTAATCTCGGGATGCCGACCTTTTTTAGGTCCCTAGAATCTTGAGAATTTGTTATTTACCTTGATGGCAATAATAGAAACTCCTTTTCTTGACCGGTATTGGCTATATTTATAGTTTTATTTAATATTTAATTAATATTTTTTTATAAATGTCTAGCTCATTTTACACACAAAAATCAATATATTCGCGAAACCATGGGCAAAATATAGTAAAATTGCGTTTTACGTTTTTCACTCTGACGTCAGTGATTCAAAAACGATTTTGAAAATTAGTGAAATGTGCTTAGAGAAGAAGTACGGGTATCACATTAAAGACAAAATTCTGTAGAATTTATTAAGACCAAATTTTGGGTGCATAAGGACAAGGACTGCTATATATTGAAAATCTCCTTTAAGAATTTTATTTTTGTAATTTCGTAATATTTGTTTTTAGAAAAATTTTATGTTAAGGACTTATATAATCAGAATAAATTTACATAAGGACTGGTATATATTGAAAATCTCCTTTAAAAGTTTTATTTTTGTAAGGACTTATATAAACTCTATAACATCATAAAAATTTCGTCCTTCTAGTTTCATCAGCTTAAAAAATTACCTTTTGAATCAAAAAAATTTTGTTTTTTTAAGTCTAAAGAAATTTCCTCTTTCACTTGGTTCCCATATTTTTACTCTACATTGCGTTGAATTTTTTAAATAATTTTTGGAACTAGTCATGTCCTTGAAATTACAAAGTCCTTTTGAAATAAATCTTAACGTCAGCGCGAAAAAATAAAAACGCCACTTAAAAAAAAGTAGGTTTCAAACCCATTTATTTATTATTTATTTTATGGTAGGAGAGATAAATAGAAGCAATTTTTTCGATTTCAGTTGTTGAAATGTAATTAATATCTAAATCCCGGGATCCGGGGTTTGTCATAATGACAACCCGTAAATCCCGGCATCGTAAAAAGTGAAAAGAATTAACATCCCTAATGTACACCCGGTGTAAAAATCATAAGCGCACCAAATTTGGCAATTTTTAAAAGTAATTTTATTTTTTATTTTATTTTAGTAATTTTTTTTTTTAATAAAAATATAGCTTCTGCTAAAAAATTTATGAATTTCACTAAAAATTTCACGCTTTTCAACTTCTTATAGCCAGTTTCACGAAAGCAATTTAAGTGAAAATTTTATATTTTTTTTATGTCAATTCAATATAGAAACTGACAGATAAAAGTTTCACTTAAAATGCTTTCGTGAAACCGCAAAAATTTAGATTATGCAGTTTTGTAGCACATTCTATTTTAGTATAATAAAATTAAAAAAAAAACAATTTGTTTTTAATTTTTATAAATTTGTTTTTGTTATTTTATATAACCAACCATATTTTTATAAAAAATAACTAAAATGAAATAACGAAGAATTAAATAGGTTAGTGGTGGATGAGATTCTTAATTTTTAATATTTTTTTTGGCTAACGGTGTTGTGCATTTTCTTCCATATAAAGTATTAAATATGCTCGACCATGCTCAAAATTTCTTTTTATTTAGAAGAAAATGCCTAGCAGCGTCAGCAATACAATTATTAAAAATCGACGCGATTTTCTAGCATCTTGAAATTTGCACTTTAATCTTCTAAAATTGAATGGGCTATAAAACTGCACACCAAACATTAAAAAAAAAAATCGGATTGAAAAGTTCAAAATTTTTGGGGGATTTTGTAAAATTTGTTGAATTTTTATAATTTTCGTACAAAATTTGAAATGTGGATTTATGTGTATGGTATGTATTATATATTGTGCTAGACTTTTATAAAAAATATATTAAACATCGAATAAACAAAAGTAATATAGCCAAAACTGGTCAAAATAAAAAGTTTCTGTTATTTCTTCCACCACTGTATATGTGATGCGCTTATAATTTTGACACGGCGTGTATTGTGTTTAGTATGTGTATTAGGAATTTCAATTATATGTATGTCAAAAGCCACAGTGCAAAATATTTTTAATCAAACTGTGAGGCAAAACTATAAACACTTTTTTCGATTTTCCGAGCCGCTAAAAAATGATGTCAGGTACAAGAAATTTTACATTAACTAACTTTAGGGACCAATTGTTTGATTAAACCTTGAAAAAGAACTTTCCCGTTCCTTGTGCACTTTGGACTATGAGTAGTGAGCAACCACTCGAGCTTCTCTGCAGAGCCCATTTTTCCATGCGACGCATCCTAATGAAAAGCCTCCTATTTGGGGTTTGGGGAAAGTTCACTGCCTTTTGTGACCTTGCTTCGGCGAAAAAAAAACTCGTTTAAACCNCGCATCCTAATGAAAAGCCTCCTATTTGGGGTTTGGGGAAAGTTCACTGCTTTGTGACCTGCTGGATAGGCACCGCCTTGCTTCGGCGAAAAAAAAACTCGTTTAAACACTTGAAGTCAGCGGGACCAGACCGAATTATACCCGGCCAGCTGAAAACGAATCTGGCTCCAATCCTCGCCTGCTGCTTTGTGCGGGGGACCATCCCTAGCCTTCAAATCTTTCCTTGTGCTTTTAGATCAATTAGTATCTCTTCGTTTCTACTTAAACCCTACAGCGGCTGATTGATTTGCATATTAGAAAGAGGATTTTTCGTCATCGCCGTTTACTAGCTCAACATGCATGAGGTCGCGGAGAGGAAGCCTTCATGTCGAGAAAGCCCTCAGTTGATCAAAGCACTGCCGTGGAAATTGTCAGATCTCTTAGTAAGATCAAAAGACAAAGTTGTTTCGTGGAGTAGGACCGTGCCATTATTCAGCGTAGGGTGAACAGGAGCTGGTGCGGAGAGTTTTGTTTTCTGGATCTGGTGAGTAGGGGATGCCGGGTGATTGCCTACGCGGATGAGGTTGCACTTTAAGCGAGGTGTACATTTTTGTATACCCTCTGTGACTCCACTAAAAGGTACTTGAATCTGGTGAGTAAATGGTCCGCGAACAGTGGATATGTTGTAAATCCTAAGAAAGGCTCGGTGGAGGGTCTTTACCAGGGGGATCTCCATCAAAGGTGGGCTTCGTGTCAACTCAGCAAACGCTGGACGTTAACCAAGCCACATGCTACTGCAAGGTATTTCCGACCGCGGGTGGACCAAAGGCGGTCTCGGTATCTCATTAGGCTCACAATGCCACAGCTCTTACATTCCCATTGCCGAAGATGCATGGAATATGACAAGATGGAGTCATCTTAGCAATTTGTCTTGTACGGCTGAGTTTTTACTAGTCTACTATTTGACCACAACATCAAATCACACTTTCTAACCGGCCGTTGGAGCTCTCCGAAGCCGACATCTGCCGCCTACGAAACTTCGCTTTTGACACGCAACCTTCNTCGCCGTTTACTAGCTCAACATGCATGAGGTCGCGGAGAGGAAGCCTTCATGTCGAGAAAGCCCTCAGTTGATCAAAGCACTGCCGTGGAAATTGTCAGATCTCTTAGTAAGATCAAAAGACAAAGTTGTTTCGTGGAGTAGGACCGTGCCATTATTCAGCGTAGGGTGAACAGGAGCTGGTGCGGAGAGTTTTGTTTTCTGGATCTGGTGAATAGTGGATGCCGGGTGATTGCCTACGTGGAGGAGGTTACACTTTAAGCGAGGTGTACATTTTTGTATACCCTCTGTGACTCAACTAAAGGGTACTTGAATCTGGTGAGTAAATGGTCCGCGAACAGTGGATATGTTGTAAATCCTTTCTTAGGATCGGTGGAGGCTCGGTGGAGGGTCTTTACCAGGGGGATCTCCATCAAAGGTGGGCTTCGTGTCAACTCAGCAAACGCTGGACGTTAACCAAGCCACATGCTACTGCAAGGTATTTCCGACCGCGGGTGGACCAAAGGCGGTCTCGGTATCTCATTAGGCTCACAATGCCACAGCTCTTACATTCCCATTGCCGAAGATGCATGGAATATGACAAGATGGAGTCATCTTAGCAATTTGTCTTGTACGGCTGAGTTTTTACTAGTCTACTATTTGACCACATCATCAAATCACACTTTCTAACCGGCCGTTGGAGCTCTCCGAAGCCGACATCTGCCGCCTACGAAACTTCGCTTTTGACACGCAACCTTAATCGCTATAACTTAGCAATATTGTGATTATATTTTATATGCTGATTTCTTCGGGCTCTAGAAAAGCCCAATCGAACATGCCATCAGCGAAATGTGAAATTCGCCATGGGCATTTCGATATCGTATGCAACTCGGCCTGAAAGCATGGTAAATTGGCTTCGTTCCGTGCTCGCGAAGATAGCCTTTCAGATTACGGCTGAAGGGGAGCCATGGGTCACGAGAAGTTCATATGGGCTGTCCTCGGGGCGGCGTACTTTCTCAATCTTGTCGGCTCTAATATCAACAGCCACGACGTATGCAGACGATGTGACTTGTCTTATTACAGGCTATTCTCTCTCACTTAATATAATTGACACTTGGTGTAGTAGTGAATGGAATTGAAAAGGCGTAGATTTACACCTTTGTGATAAGACACATTTAGCAACTATGCAACTTTGGTACAATGGAGCAGACCCTCAATCAATACCCTGGGATATTTGCTTACCAAACTTTCCATACAAGAGCTTGGACTGGTGTAGAACAANTATATGCTGATTTCTTCGGGCTCTAGAAAAGCCCAATCGAACATGCCATCAGCGAAATGTGAAATTCGCCATGGGCATTTCGATATCGTATGCAACTCGGCCTGAAAGCATGGTAAATTGGCTTCGTTCCGTGCTCGCGAAGATAGCCTTTCAGATTACGGCTGGAGGGGAGCCACGGGTCACGAGAAGTTCATATGGGCTGTCCTAGGGGCGGCGTACTTTCTCAATCTTGTCGGCTCTAATATCAACAGCCACGACGTATGCAGACGATGTGGCTTGTCTTATTACAGGCTATTCTCTCTCACTTAATATAATTGGCACTTGGCTGTAGTTGCTTACCAAACTTTCCATACAAGAGCTTGGACTGGTGTAGAACACTTTTTGTGTCTCTGCCTCGCCTTGGCAAGGATTAGATATGAATGGCGGTTAAGAGTTTCATTCAAATCCGATAATTTTTTTTTATTTGTCGCCATTTTGGATCAGCCATTTTGAATTTTGAAAAAAAATGACTTCGGATTTCTAATTAGCAATCCCAGAAAACCCCTGGTAACAATTTCCAACCCATAATAATGCGTAAATCATTCAGTATCAACGTTTCAATTTGAGGAGTATATTTCCGAGAGCATATTTTCGGGAACTAGGCCCATTCTAACTGTCCAAGGACAGGTTTGTAATTAAGGAAATATTCCCAAATAATACCAGAGTAATTATATGTAAAAACCACATTTTTAGCTGCATTTTAACATGTCAAGAAAATAAAAAAATTGAGATCAGCGTTTTTATAAAAAAAACCGACCAGCGCGACCTCTAAAAAATTTTTTTTTTTAAATAAAAAAACACCCTTCGCTTTTTTTTATCACAAATAACAATAATTTGAGGTAGCGTTTATGGATTTCGGCATTTACAGTCGGATACTAAAGTATAATGTATCGATATTCTTGTCTCGAGGAGACAACTTTTATTTGTTCCAAAGTTCATTGACCTGCCTAGTACTTGCCTGCCACCCTAATGTCAGTAAATTTAGCTCGCCAAAAATCAACCAAGCTTTGCTATGGAATTATTTCGAATATTCCGATAGAACTATTTAAAAAGAAAAAAAAAAATTATTGTCAAATATACATGTGACCTAAAATTTTAAAAGGGTGACCCCTAGGTTCAGTAAAATTTTTTTTTTCAAAATTACCTTGCAGAAATATTTTAAACTCAGGCGTATACGGCGAACACTTTTTGTTTGCTTGTAGGCTGGTACGGTCTAATGTACACACGCTCCATGGGATATGTGAAAATCGTATATTAACTTAAATACTAGTATATTGTAAAACNTTTTTTTAAATAAAAAAACACCCTTCGCTTTTTTTTATCACAAATAACAATAATTTGAGGTAGCGTTTATGGATTTCGGCATTTACAGTCGGATACTAAAGTATAATGTATCGATATTCTTGTCTCGAGGAGACAACTTTTATTTGTTCCAAAGTTCATTGACCTGCCTAGTACTTGCCTGCCACCCTAATGTCAGTAAATTTAGCTCGCCAAAAATCAACCAAGCTTTGCTATGGAATTATTTCGAATATTCCGATAGAACTATTTAAAAAGAAAAAAAAAAATTATTGTCAAATATACATGTGACCTAAAATTTTAAAAGGGTGACCCCTAGGTTCAGTAACATTTTTTTTTTCAAAATTACCTTGCAAAAATATTTTAAACTCAGGCGTATACGGCGAACACTTTTTGTTTGCTTGTAGGCTGGTACGGTCTAATGTACACACGCTCCATGGGATATGTGAAAATCGTATATTAACTTAAATACTAGTATATTGTAAAACTATATGCATAATACTTTGCTTACACTTCCTATTTCGTTATTTCAGACGCCAGGTGATCCTTCTAAGCTCAATCGAAAGGAATCCTACAAAGCGCAGCGTAAAAATTATCGCCGTGAAAAGAAGCGTGTTGCGTCTGAATTGCTGAATTCGCTGCAGGATCCCACAGTCGTGGTGTTGGCAGATTGGCTCAAGGTAATTATTTATGTACAGCACAAATTGTTGCATGCTCGCCATAACAAGGGAATTAGTAAATCGATACTGAGTAGGCGTTTTCGGTAAAATTGGTGTTCATTTCGTTTCGTTTATTTTTTATTTTTGGCGGATTTAGTGGGTCCAAATCTATATACATACAGAAGTATATGAAGGAAGCGGAAAAGTACACTCGATGCCTAAAAAAATATGCAGAGCTATACTTACAAGCACAAATTTATAACATATGTATGTACACATCTATTAACATGAAAAAAAATGAAATGACAATGTCGGTGACATACTATCCCACTGGCGTCACATGCTTAGTTTAGTTCCCGACAAAATACTACAATCTGGTATAATTTAATTTTAGATTTATTTATATATTTGTATGCATTAGGGTGGTCCAAAAGTGCATATGAAAAAGTATAGTCGTAATTTTAATTATCTCACTCCCTAGGATTGTTCTATTCCGAAAGTGTATCTCTATTTTTTATTTTGAAATCAGAAAATATTTAGAGATCACTCAAACGGTCAAAGTTTTCCACTTTTTATGAGGAAAAACAACTTGAAATTGCATAGAATTCGTGAAAATCAATTTTTTTTTCGATCAGAAAACTCGACTAGCTCAGCTTTAAGGATTATTCTTGTTAAACTATTAAAATAAAAATGGTATTGTGGATTGTAGGTGCCACCGAAAAATGTAAAACGGCGACCACTAGGTTGGGCCAAACATTGTTTTTTTCCCCCAAATTCGAAAGAATTGTTTGCCTGCAAGGTCGTACGGTCTAATGTTCATATGTATATGTGCATACATAGATAAGTACATGTTTGTAAAGCAACCTAAGTAGATAATTCCATTCAAGCGGCGTTTCTGATGAACATTTGTCGCGGCATAATTTTTTTTTTGTTTTACAAATGTATGTAAGCAAGGAAGTAGTTACTACACAATGACGAGTGTACAGTTGGTAAAAAATTGATTAAAAATTGTCTTCGGTATTCTCTTCGGTATGTATTGGCTTGAAACTTATTTAGCGGTGGTAATTATTAAAAAAAAAAATACGGAAATGGTGTGACCAGCGTCGCCGCGAGCTTGAAAAAAGTATCAGTTGCCAAGCAGAAAAAGTATCAAAAGCACACACAGCTGTTTTTTTTAAGCTTTAATTTAAAAAACAAATAACAAATAAAATTTTATAATTAAATCCGTAGTGCATAACGAAAAACAAACATATAGGGCCCCTAAATCACGACTAGCTCGGCCTTAAAAGCCTTAGAAAACATTGTAAACATTTTTTGCATTTCGCTTTACTGTAACACATGGACAAAATTTATTTTTATGTTGAAGAAAACGGTCATTATCCTTTTTGAATCGCTTCATTGTTTGGGTCAAATCTAGTAATTACAAAAAATAAGGAATTTAAAGGATTTGAGTGTGCATAACACTTAGCAAATTAAATTGACCTCAAAAGAGAACCATTTGAACCGAACCGAACCGAACCGAACCGCGGTGATGAACCTGCCCTTGTACAGGTACAAGTTTTTTCTAAATTCGAACCACTGAAACGAGCCGAATCGATTTTTGGAACGGAACTGCTTAGGTAAGATTTTGTTAAGCGGGCAGCTCTGAGAAGAGTTCACTTGGATTCCACAAAGACCCATTCCGATGCCCAGGGTGGTCTCCCCATGCCTATCCCAAGCATTGCTTAAGAGTAATACAAATTTCTGCAGTATGAAATTAGCTACGAATGAATCGAAGCAAGTTTCACTTCTGTATGTAGTGCAACCCAAGCACACTCCTTTTCTCAATTTAAAGTTAAACAATTTATAGTTCAATAGTCTTGAGGTCATTTATTACTCACCGGACTATATGTATGTACACGTGTTTAATATTATTTTAGCAGCGTAAACAGCCAAAAAATGTCTATAGCTAATAATTCTTCTTTACTTTGCGCTTTTCTGTTTATTTCAGTGGGGTGTTTTTTTCGTTTTATTAGCCTCGATGCAAATTGAATTTTATTAGCTGATAATAGCAACTTTCCTCTTATTGCTGCACACTTACACAAACAAATTTGCTTAAATGCGTACAAACATATATGCATACATAAATAGTACATAAATACATACATACATAAGTGCGTAAGCTTGCAATATTCACATTCATGTACATACATAAATATTTCTACAGTAGGTGTGCCGAAATACATAAAATTTAGATCAGACAGACTTAATAATAAATAGATAATACTTGCCTAATTTTAAATTAAAAAAATTTTTTTTTCAATAATTCTGGCTATATACTGTATCTTTTGAGCATCGAAAATCAATAAATGTAACTAAAGTTTCAAATTATTAACTGATATACATATATACATTAGACCGCGTAAAAAAATCTTTTTTTCTTACGTGTAATTCCTTTGGGAATACTAAAAGATCGACGCGGAACCTCTTAGAATTGATCTAGAGCGGGGAGATTCATGGATTATCATTACTATACCAAATGCTAAAATTTCATCTTATGCCGGTCCATTGCACAGTATTTTTTTATTTTTATTTTGACGCGGTCTAATGTACATACATATATTCATATTTATCTTTCAACTAATAGGTACGCGGTACACTGAAATCATGGACAAAACTATGGTGTGTACTAAAACCGGGCATGATGCTGCTCTACAAGAGTCCCAAGCTGAAGAGTAGCCATTGGGTTGGCACCATAATGCTGACATCATGTCAAGTCATCGAACGGCCGAGCAAGAAAGATGGATTCTGTTTTAAGCTTTTCCATCCACTAGAGCAGTCGATATGGGCTCCACGCGGACCAGACAAGGAGACAATAGGTCAGATTAGTTATTGAAATATCAAAATATATACATACATGCATATAAATGGGAGACAATATTAAATACTAGTTAAAAAAATAAAATAAACACACTCCCGCAATTTTATTTTGCAGGCGCAGTTGTTCAACCCTTACCAACCGCTTACCTGATATTTCGTGCACCCAGTCAGGCGGCTGGTAAATGTTGGATGGATGCACTGGAACTCTCCTTGCGCTGTTCGGCATTGCTATTGCGTTCCAATAGCAGCATGGGCGCTGTACAGGGTACCAGTGTCAACGATAGTGCGCAAATATCGAATGAGACACAGTGGTCAGAAGCCGATTATGAGAAGCATTTCAACGATCATGGTAAGTGAAAAATGTCTGCACGTATACAAAGTTAATGTGCAAAACAAAAAAAAAAAACAAAAAATCAAACAAATTAGTTAAAGGAATTACAAAGGATATTTTTAAGTTATAAAAAAGGAGGATATGAAATGCCTGAGTGATAATTTTGTAATGTTGCCAAGTCTTACGAAATGTCTGGGCAGTACCCGAAATTCTCTGGGAGTACCAAATGTTTTGAAATTTGTATCAGATACACTTATTCACATTCATGCAATTGAGAAGTGAACTAACAGGTGGTATTTGACTGATCTTTTCAGTATAAGGTCAAACTCAAAGACCTCGAAAATTCTTCCTTTTTCAGTTTTTGTTTATATTGGGGTTGAAAAACTGCCAATAAACGTGATAAAAGTATAAATCCCATACAAATTTTTAATTTTATCACAATAAATAAAACAAAAAATTCCATACAAATTTATGTATAATTTTATCAAGTTTATCAGCAGTTTGTGACGTTTGATGAATATCCTTATTATATTTTTTTGCTTTATTTATTGAAACAGCAATCAAAACATTGGTCATATAATTACTCGGTTTTCTATAGTTTCTAACTAATAACTATTTATAATTACTAATTGTTGGACAGCAATAGAATTAGGAATGTAAAAACAATTGTGCGCAAATACGCAGATTACAATGCTACTTGAATAAAATTTTTACCTAAAATATTGACATTGATAAAATTAACCCTATGTCGCACAGTGTTTCGATTATGAAGGCAGGTGGAAAAAGTCATGGTGACAATTGATAAAAAAAACCCTGTTGGGCTTAGAAACAGAGAAGTTATAAATACACGTAATTTTACTCTTACTATTCTACGAACGGTACATTTCCAAAAAATACTAGAATCGGTGCGCTATCGACTAATCAGTTTAGTTGCGTTTGGCGCCCAATTGTATTTCATGAAACCTTATTCACGTGAAGTTATTTATCATTTAGTTGGTTTTGTTTTTATCAAAACATTTACTTTGAAATATATATCATAAAGATTATTAGTAAAAAAAATATGAGTACCTGTTCGTAAGGTCTTGAAATTAACCGCATGTTCTAGAGAATTTTATGTTCACCGTGGAAGTGATATTTTACTCGTACCATACGAAAATCGTATAGCTGTTCCTAAAGTGCTGAAAAAGTATTGTTTGCGTTTTTTAAATCCTCTCACAGTAAATGTAAAAAATCGACATAATATCCCTATCGGAATAGAGTAGACAGACTCAAAAAATTTAAATTAGAAACTAATTAAAATTAAAATCATCAATTGAAAAACTAGTTGGAAATAAATTACTTTGAAACAAATGCAAGTTCTTTCAGCTATTTCAAAGTAGTTTAAATCGTATGCAGAATCGTTCAATTGGCTTTCTCCTAGATATCGCTAGGCTAATAAAATCAATTGCCTACAAGAAAACAGGATGAATTTCAACTAATAGAAAAGTACTTATTAAACAAAGTCAATTGCCTACAAAAAAACGAAGAATGACGTCTAAAGTAGTTGATTTTCCGACAGGGTAAATACTTCATATTTCTGCGCCATATCGCATTATATGGTCTAATGTTCAACGCTTTTGTATGTTTCGCCGTATATTTCTTTTCTTTTTTTAAAATGAGACTAAAACCAAGTTGTTCCGATGCCTGCAGGCATACATTAGAGCTCGGTTTACTTTTCAAGGGAATCACTATACATAGATACATACATATCGCACGCTAAATCAAAATCGCTGAAGACGATAAGTATTTTGGTGGACGTTAGAAATATGGCCTGTGAACTGATTTATGTGAAAAAATTTATTTTGAAAAATAGTTTTTGATTTAGGATGCGATATGTGCAATATTTACCTAGTAGTTTTACTTTGTTGCTTATTCTGTTTGGAAATTCACTCAATTATATGCTTTTAATGGGTAAAAACAAAAAACAAAAAAAAATTCTCCAAGACCCACAAATCGAGCGCTTCTCACCAAGTGGCAGCCTACAAAAACGCTATTCTCAATATTTAATGGTGCCTGAGTTGAGCAAATCACATGGCAGTTCCGATACAAGTTTGGCATCTCGCGCACAGACACCAATATTTCAGCAACTCTACACGACAATGACCAATTGGGAACGCATTGTTGCCAACTCAGCGGAGAAAAACTTACGCAAACTTCGCAAAGCAAAACATTTGGGCAAACCTCAATCGTTCGAGGGCGCTAGTTCAATGGGTGATCTAAGTGATGTTTCTAGTGTTGATTTTCCAACAATATTACAAACACATCAGTCATTAAGATTGAAGGCACGCCGCCAAAATCAATTCATGAAATCCGCATCACTAGGTCCGATGTCGCATGAGTCATCCTCCTCCGGTGATTCTGTAGAGCAGCCTATAGACGCCAAAACTAGAACGAGCACATTACGTCCACTGAGTGCGCCACCATTTGAGGTCAACGTTAAGGGTTTGGCCAGTTTGATGTTTTATTATTAAATTAATTTGCATTGGTCGTAAATTGCTAGATAAGCCGAATTAAGAGTTTAGATTTGAGTAGAAAATTGTACATACATATGTATGTATGTATGTATGAATGCTATGTAGCTGCATACATAAAACACCCATGGATGGCATTCAAGCTTCATTAAAATTCATATCAATGCTACATAATCTTCACTTGATTGTAAATATTTTCCGAAATATGTAAATATTGCATACGCTTTCACTGTTAGCTATTAAAATATTCTAATTTCGAAAATTTGTGTCAGCCGTAAGCCTAATATCGAATACTGTTGATGACCTGTGTTCGAATTAAACCCTTTAAGTTATGTAACCATAAACGGTGGAACAAATTGGGCCTGTTCGAAAACAGAAATAATTATCCGTCAGCAAATCCCATGAGAATAACAATCGTTTTTTTCACAAATAAATAAAACAACCAAATTAAATTTCAAAAACCTAAAAAAAATATATTCCAAATGCTAGTCAGAGTTATAAGCGATCCGAGTGCCATATTTCATGTAAAACCGTGCAGGTTTTTAATTTCATCAGATTTCAAATTACCCTGTACCAATAAAAAAGTTCTAATCAAAAAAATTAAACTTTATCGGACGTTCACAGACTTCTTCTTTTTCTTTATTGGCGCTGTAACCGCCTAAGCGATTTTGACCGAATCGTTTCTCTTCTGTGCCAACTGAGGGGGCATTCCTCTTCCGCTGTTACCAGAATCACAACCACAGGCTAAGGTCTTTAATTTGATTACTAATTTTTGAAATTCGATGAAATTTCGACAAATTATTCCTTCATTCGTTTATAGTGCAATCCATGATACAAAAAAGGTAGTTTCAATAAACAACTTTTTGATTAAAAAGCAGATTTTTGACAATTGCTCAATTGTGAAAAATTCGAAGCGGCATTACCCAATTGTAAGTTTTTTGGTGTGGGACATTTTATATCCTAAATTTGGGATTATAAAGTAAATAGTTGTATTAATATATACCTTTTAAAACTAATCAATATCTTATTTTGAAAACGTTTAAATTTTACATTAAATTCGATAACAACTTGCCAAATCATTATTTTAATATTAATACAATTTTAGTGAACATATTTTAAAATTATGTTAGTGTCCTCATGTCATCTCATTAATTCACAATGTAGTTTTCTATATCGGATACGTGATTCTGATGTAATTCTGAAATTACACATTTACACAAATTACTGAAATTACACATTTCGATGTGTTATTTAATACATATTGTCTTTGTCCATTTAACAGCAATGGATTTACTTTGGAACTCATGGGCCGTAAAATTTTTCTAGCAACACATATTGTTTTCACATACAATTTTGACACACCCAAAATTGAAGGATAAAATAAATAGATAAAACCAAATTTTCAATAAAACTGATTTGTGTAGGCTAGGGTCGTCTTTAGTAAATTTTTTGGAGGTGTTTTAACATATCCTATCTTATTATATATTTCTTAGCTTTTCTACATTCTGAGAAGTTGAGTAAATGAAGTCTAATATTCTTTTTTGGTCAACTACGATGTTTGATTTCATTTTTTGCAATCATTAGTTTATTTCGCTTGAGGAGTCACAATGCCCATACCGGCTTTTTTTTTGAAATTTCGGACACAAGTTTTCCAATAATGGTTATAGGCTAAAACAAAACCGATATTTAAAGTGCGTGTAGAACCTCCCATAGAAATCGAATTTTTCATAGTGCATATCTTGTGGTAGAGTCCTGGAACTTTGTATGGTATGGTATGTATTTAAAAATGTCTTGAAAATTGTGTTGCTAGCTTCATGTTGCAAAATGTTTCAAGGAAATGTGGAATTTCACACTTATTTCTTGTTTATTTCTTATTATGCTATGCTTAAGAACAAAATATTTTTAAATCAACAAAATATTAATAAGAAAATTTTAAGGATTTTAGATATTGGGTATGGTAGCACGAAATGTCACAATCTGCTTAATTGTCAGGTTGTTAATATGGCGACGAAAAAGTGACAATGGAACTACCTTGGTTTTTGTATCATGGTGCAATCAGCAGAATTTTTTGAATGGCTAATTGTGGACAGTCAACGAACTGGTTGGGCCTAATCAGTGTGGCTTTAGACCTAAAAAATCCACCATACTCCAGGTATTCATAATACGCCAAATCTAGGAAAAGACCCGTGAAAAATGGATCGATACTCACCATCTATTTGTCGACTTCAAAGCCGCTTCCGACAGCACTAAAATGGGTTGCCTTTACGCCGCAACGCACAAAAAAAAGTGTTGTGCGCTTTAAAGCAGACCCACCTACCGACTATATTTCGATCCACTGAATACGAATCTGAGATCCGTTTGACTCTACACCCTCAAAATTTCGAGTAAATTGCAAAAAACCGAAAAAATCAAAACGTGGAAATGCCATTTCAACGATCAGATTGAAGAAGGAGTTTTTATTCCTTATATCGAAGAAAGATACATTTCAAGTACAGAAATTAGTCTTATCTTGAATGACTTTGTCCTTCAATATAGTAAATTTCGATTTGAAGAAAAATGTCTTCCCTTATTTGTTAGACTTGTAAGTAAATTGGACAGATACTCGGCCCTATTATAGTTGTCGACCACAGTATTTTTTACGGAAAGGGTTTCCCTGCAAAACTACATACTGCGGTCAGCGTAGCTGGCGTTGGACTTGCGAAGGCTATTTTTTTTTTACGAAAAAATGACAGCGACGTCGACGTCGACAACCATAATAGGGCCGATTGCTTCTTGTTTTAAGCTATTATCTGAAAAAAATGGCAAGTAGTAAAATAGACAACAATTGTCTGTTTGAAGAAATTAGAAAACTGAACATGTACTTAAATACTGAAAAATTTAAAAAATGGGAAAATCTTCACGTTTAAATTTATAAAATAGAGGAACCTATCTGCACAAAAAACAAAAAAAAAAAACATTAGTAATATGAAAAAGAGGAATCTATAAAAAATAAATGCGATATTTTACTAAAAAGTTTATTGCGCCTACGGGTGCTACATATCATAGTAAAAGAAAAGTAAAATGGCATCCCTCGGGTTATTACCGTTTCGATTTTAGTAATGCTTTTTTACATGCGCCTCCACTTGGTCTAGTTCGCCCTCAGAGATAGGCGAAAATAGATTGCAATCAGCTTTTCCCGGTTAACTGTTTTTGTGTTTGCTAATTCTTGAAGGTAAACGTTTACTGCTTATCCCGAAAATTAATGGCGACATCGCTCACTCAAGTTTCTTTCCTTGCGAATGTATTATGGGTTTATTTGGTTATTCGTATCTAGCGCTAATGCTTGAAACACAATACCCGGCGAACGGCGAAGTTCGTCAAATTGGGCGATGCATGCCGTCGTTCACCGTTCGCCCTGCACTTCGCCTACTTTAACAGAATTGGAGCGGTAGCGTAAACAGGTGATACCATTTCTTCACATTTACAATTTAGGTGACCATGTTTTGAAAAACGAAACCATGCTTAGAAATGATAAAATGATACCAAATACAAATTTATTTTAAGCAAGATTTAACGAATTGACCACTGTATTTTTCAAACATTAAAAATAATTCGTGTTATATGTTGTTTTCTTCAAAAACTTTGAAAGCAAAAAAAAAAAAACAAACGGCCACCTTTGGCATGTACTGCCGCCATCTCCCAGCAGTCGCCTTGAAACGCCGCACAGTGTGCTTTTTGAACACTCCTTGCGAATTAATCGCAGCGCTTTCGACAGGAGCAACATTCTGATATGGAACAAAATATTTTTGAAAGCTAATTTTATTCCCTTTCACGGAAAAATATTGCCATTGACCCACAATCACTCCTTGACTTTAAAAAAATTGGTAAAAAATAGTGGTCTTCGGGAAAACATGCAAAATCCACCGGATTTGTTCCAAATTTTTTAAATTTTTTTTTGTATATTTTATTACGCTACGGCCGCTGTGGTGTAGTGGTAAGCAGTGCGCGCTTCCACTCCACAATGCCTGGGTTCAAACCCTGGTCAAAGCAACATCGCAAAAATATAGAAAAAAGGTTTTTTCTTAACATCGGTCATCCCTCGGCAGGCAATGGCAAACCCCCGAGTGTATTTCTGCCATGAAAAACAGCTTCTCATAAAAATACAATCGCCGTTCGGAGTCGGCGTAAAACTGTAGGTCCCTCCGCTTTGTGTGACAACATCAAGGCGCACGCCACAAATCGGAGGAGAAGCTCGGCCAAACACTAACATATGTGTAAGCGCCAATCTATTATTATTATTATTATTATTATTACGCTAACATTATAGACTTTTGAGACGAGAAACACGACTCCACTGTTTCCTGCTACGTTAAGAAAAATAAAAAATCATCATGCTGCATACCTTGCGGAAACCTGTGCAGTAGGCTTGGGTAGTTCTTGAACTAAATGATCTAAAGAACTGGTTCATCTCAATGAATAAATTTGCCTTGATTCGTAGCAAAATCCGAATACGAAAGTTTTGCAGAATAGGAGTGATAGGTTTCCCAATTTTAGCTACTAAAAATGTCATTAAAATTGCAATAATTTGCAAATTAAAGCCAGTATGGAAAAACCGAAGGTTATATTCGGCGTCAGCGACCCTAAATTTGTACTAAGAACCCGGTTTGCCTAGGGATTAATGTGCGGGTTGCCAAGGGATTAATGTACGGGTTGTTACACTTAATCTTTAACAGACTTGTAATTGACCTCACAAAACTACATATTTTTATTATTATTTACAAAGGGGTTTAAGAGAAATAAATTTTTCGACCCACCATAACGTGCATATGTATATACATAAGTGTATATAATGCATAATGTAGAGTAGCTAAGTCACATGAGACGGATAATAGCGCCAGAACACAAACCACAAACTGTGTATATTTCGTTGTGGATTTTNTGCCTTGATTCGTAGCAAAATCCGAATACGAAAGTTTTGCAGAATAGGAGTGATAGGTTTCCCAATTTTAGCTACTAAAAATGTCATTAAAATTGCAATAATTTGCAAATTAAAGCCAGTATGGAAAAACCGAAGGTTATATTCGGCGTCAGCGACCCTAAATTTGTACTAAGAACCCGGTTTGCCTAGGGATTAATGTGCGGGTTGCCAAGGGATTAATGTACGGGTTGTTACACTTAATCTTTAACAGACTTGTAATTGACCTCACAAAACTACATATTTTTATTATTATTTACAAAGGGGTTTAAGAGAAATAAATTTTTTCGACCCACCATAACGTGCATATGTATATAAGTGTATATAATGCATAATGTAGAGTAGCTAAGTCACATGAGACGGATAATAGCGCCAGAACACAAACCACAAACTGTGTATATTTCGTTGTGGATTTTGGGCCCTAAAATTACAAAAAAGGTAAACAAAATTTGCCACTTTAGAGTAAAATATTAACATAAATACTCGAAAAAAAATCAAATTTGCTCCACTGCTGCTGCTACCGGTTCCNGTATATTTCGTTGTGGATTTTGGGCCCTAAAATTACAAAAAAGGTAAACAAAATTTGCCACTTTAGAGTATAATATTAACATAAATACTCGAAAAAAATCAAATTTGCTCCACTGCTGCTGCTACCGGTTCATTTTGCCCTGGCAATAGCTAAACTTAATACATACACATACGTACTTGCACTGAAATAGTGATTAATTACAAACCATCAACTTGAATTTGGTCCTTCACTGTAATTTCATAAACAATTCATTCACAATTTTTTGAATTGAAAAAGAAAAACTTGACAAAACTTCAGCATTGCCTTTTGAAATTTTATACAGTTTATTTTATTAATCGTATTTGAACAAAACATAGCATTGAGATATTTACACATGAAGTTGCAAGTTTTGTAGCCCATTGTAGAATGCTGCCCATACTTTACCGTAATCATAAGCCTGTTGCAAAAAGTTTAAATAAAGAAAAACGTAGGATATTCAAAACTTTCATTTCTTTTTCCTTTTTTCATTTCACCAACAACAGATCTGGATGGCGACAGCCAAAATGAAGGTGGACCAGCTGCTATGTCAGGAGTAGATACCGAATCTGAATCAGAGCCAGAAGCCGTGGTCGAGGAAGAGCCCGAAACACCATATGTGCCACTCACTGAAGAAGAGTTCGGCTCTGTAAGTCATTCAAGCAAATGCAAAGAACATAAAAAAATGTCATGCAATTTTGCAAAAAAAAAAAAAAATCTAACCGCGCTACTATTTGTATTTTTGTTTTTTGTTTCACAGGTCGGTGAGCAGGTCGAGGAGCTTGCAGAGGAAAATAAAAGTTTAATCTGGATTTTAGTGAAGCAAGTGCGACCAGGCATGGATCTAAGCAAAGTAGTTTTGCCGACATTCATACTCGAACCACGCTCATTTTTGGATAAATTATCGGATTCATATTATCATGCAGACATCTTGTCAAGGTGAGTGTGGCTTGTTGAGAAAATCGCCAGNCTCGAACCACGCTCATTTTTGGATAAATTATCGGATTCATATTATCATGCCGACATCTTGTCAAGGTGAGTGTGGCTTGTTGAGAAAATCGCCAGAAAAAAGATAAATATCATAGTTTTAGAAATGCAAGCAAACTAAATTCATGACAACTATTTATTTGAAGGGCCGTAATCGAAGATGATCCATTCACGCGTATGAAAACTGTAGTTCAATGGTACCTATCTGGTTTCTACAAAAAGCCCAAAGGCTTAAAGAAGCCATACAATCCCATATTGGGCGAAACGTTCCGTTGTTACTGGGAGCACCCGAATGGTAGCCGTACATTTTATATCGCTGAACAGGTGTCGCATCATCCGCCTGTGTCAGCTTTCTATGTGACAAATCGTCAGGAAGGTTTCTGCATCAGTTGCTCCATCTTGGCTAAATCGAAGTTCTATGGCAACAGCACATCTGCTGTATTGGAGGGTGTTGCCACACTCACGTTGTTGCCACGTGGCGAAACGTATACATTGAATACGCCATACGCCCATTGTAAGGGCATTCTCGTGGGTACGTTGTCCATGGAGCTGGGCGGCAAAATTACCATTGAGTGCGAGAACACCGGTTACAAGACGGAACTGGAATTTAAGCTGAAACCATTCCTTGGCGGTTCAGATTATACCAACTTGATAGCGGGTAAAATAAAGTTGGGCAAGGAAACAATGGCTACTATCAGTGGACACTGGGACACAGAAATGACAATCAAAGAGGCGAAGACTGGAGAAGAGTCTATACTATTTAAAGCCGATCCAGATACAAAACAAAAACGTTTAGTGCGCTATGTTGTGCCACTGGAAGCACAACTACCTAATGAAGCTGAACGATTGTGGGAGAAAGTATCTTTAGCGATTCGAAATGATGATCAGGTGGGCGCAACAGAGCAAAAGACCGTGTTGGAAGAAGAGCAACGCAACTCGGCAAAGGAACGAAAGCTTACTTTAACAGATTGGGAGCCAGTGCATTTCCACTTTGATCCACTAACAGCACAGGTGCGTGTAAGAACTGAAGTAGATTTAGCATGCCATTTTATATACATAAAATATTGTTTTATTTCTGATTGTAAGTTTTTAAGCTAGCGAGCATATTTTTGACCTTGACTATGTGAGAATGAAGAAATGACAATCGGAACAATCGCATATATTGAAAATAGGCCAGTTCCCTGACTTAATGTGAACTTTGATAGTACTAAGTTCTTGAGTCTTCAAAGAATCTTAAGTTTAGATACGTGGAAGTTGAGGAAAAGCTTTCCAAACAAGCAGATAAACATGTCACAGAATAGTTATCTGACCTGTAATTAGTGTTATACATACATATGTATACTCATACCTAAATTTATTCGGTTGGCCCTAATTGTTTATCCTACTAAGGTAATTATACCGAATGAGAGTGTTACTCAGTTTCGTAAAACGAATGAAACGAAGTGGAATTCGCTGTGAATTAACGGTTCTATACCGTTCGCCATTCTTCGAAACACTTCGACTTATTGTTAAGTTCATAGAAAGTCTGGAAGAACTTTTAAAGATAGAGAACGCATGTGCTCAACTTTTGGCTACAGTGGGACATGTCTTCTGGAAATGGTCGAAAAAATCCAATTTTCTAGCTTATTATTTCGTGCTGCTCTGCCAGTTACTTTCTCTCGTTCTTACTATCTATTCATTGTTGGGCGCCACCAAAAAGCAATTGCTCAGCCTGCATAGGATTTGGAGCTTTTGCCTGTTGCGATTCTCTAGTATTTTTATTTGTTATCTGTATGCATGTCGACGAACGATAGAGTTAAAAAAAGCTCGCAACTGTATTAATGTGATCGACATTTCGATCCACTAACACCTTGAATTTCTTCCAATAGTGGGTATACAAGTATGCAGATTTGCGGCCATGGGATCAGCGTAACGATGTGAAGCAATACGAGTCTAATTACAAAGTATTGACGAAGACACGCCATCGGGCACCAATGGTGCGTAACCCGAGCATCGTCACTGGTGATCCGATGCAGTTAATTAAATCATCTTCTCTATTGAAGGTTAAACACAAAAGTCGTTCCATTTTGGCGCTATCACACGAGGATGACAAATCTGATTCCAGTTTATCGAATCCGGACTTGGGCAAACTGCCAAGCAAAGCATCAAGCAAAACGCTAAAAAGGTATTTAATAATACGGACATTCAGGTAAAATCTGTATCTGAAAAAAAAAAAATCAATTTATTTCTTCTGCACAGATTGGCATCCGCAATCGAAAAAATGAATAAAACGTTGGAAGAACACTCACAACAACTACGTGCGATTCAAGCAAATTTAGACAGAATGCAGTATCATCCCAAACTGCGTGCACCAACTGGTGGACGTTTTGCCAACATTGTGCCGCGTACTGTGCCCCAAACGGTGGTTATTAAATCAGTGGTTTATGCATTCATTGGATTAGCCGTCTGCTTTATTTTCAAATGGATGTTTAAGTAAATATGTAGTGTTGCGACATTTCGCTTGGGGTTGATAATTTTTTAAAGTCAGTGGAGGGGAAAGCACGCCAAGCGTAAGATGATTCACATAGATACACATAAACGCCTACAAATCGTGTATTCGCTAACTTTAAAACCTGTTTTAAAGTAATATTTAATTATAGTATAACCTAAACTTGAATTATGTATGATAAGCTATTTTAAATGCTTTTTTTGAATTTCTATGTTTAGAATGCAAACTGTTAATGAAAATAAACAGCGTAAAAGTTACTTTTACACATTAACTATATGTATGTTTATACTTTCATAATTGAAGCTAAATATATTCGTTTATTATGGCGAGGGCTCTCAATTTCGGTAACGCTAAAGTTTTTCGATTAAATTTTCAAATCTAAATTTTACTGCACGTTATCTCGTAAATCGCAAAATTTGAAGATTGGCTACTGTGGAAACGGTGAATTGAAAACGTAAATTTGTTTTAAATCGCAAACCGCAAAGTTAAAAGGAAATGGTAGCCTTGCTGTATGTACTAATATATAATGTGTGAAATGATATGCGGGGCTGATAATCTGCTAAGTTAGTTGTGTAAAAATAAGTCGTAAATGTTGTGTTTTTTTTTCTATTCAATACTTGTCGTAACGCAGCTTTTCAGCTTGAACTAAGAACTCATGGTACCAGGTCGTACTTGAACACCACATAAATATATTCTCACGTTAATATTATAAAAAGTGCAAAAAAAAAATACTTTAGTAAAAACAAGCTTTCCGGGACATTAATGAAAGTTGCCACCCCGCAAGAAATCCAGAACAATCCAGTATTCTATCCTTCAAAGGATTTCCCTTAAATATATTTCATGAATATAACTTATAAAATGCTGTAACAGCGCATATAGTTTTGCTGGCAGGCATACACTTTCAGTACGACCTGTGAAGTCTCTTCACATAAGCACATGAGAAAATATTGCTTTTGTTGTGTCCAAGTTGGGCTTGGACTTAATATTCATACCTAAAAAACTTAATTTCCTTAAACTATATATGTATGTTCTTTATGAAAGTTACATACATAAGTACATATAAATTTGTGTCCTTTATAAATACTAAAAGTAGTTTTTGTCTGAATTATTATCTATTGCCTCAAAAATTGTCAAATCTGAGTTGCAATATAAAAAAGTAAGTTAAAATGTAATCAGCATTCGTCTTTGAAAGCTAAATTTTAATTAGCTCATTTTTATTTTTCTATTTAATGTGTTTCATTGAGCCATATGAATAAGAACTAAGCAATTGCTTATTCTTAAAATTTCAGTCCTTTTACTTAAATTTATTTGTATAAATCGCGTAAAAGGTCTGAAATTTTAAGAATAAGCAATTGCATAGGTTTTATTCATACGGCCTGTATGTATGTATGTATCGTGTCGTGACTTGATATCAACGAAATAAGACAATTAATTGTAATGTACGCTAAATTATTTATAGCATCATTTTTCCAATTATAGCACCGAGCAACAAATGTTCCATAAACTTTATTGGCCACATAGCGCACTATATAAAAACACATGTTGCATAACGGAATGTTGTGCAATTTTTTTCCAGCAATGAAATTATAGCACCTTCACAAATCGATTGACACAAATTCGCTTAGAAGCCACAATTAAAGAATAGGCATTATTGCTATGTACGCTAACTATTATGTAAAAAAAAATTATATAAAAAAATGTAAACGAAATCCATACTTTCGTAAGTAAGAACACAAATGCTGTTAACATTTCAAGTCCAATAAACGAACTCTACACTTTACTACTATGCGATTTTACTAATTGTTGCGTCGAACAAGTTTGGGTTTGTATTAATCAGCGGGGAGGATGAAAAGTCTTGAGCCTAAGTACTTTTAAGTGCCATTAATATCTTGTGTTGTGTGGCACTAACTGCTAGTATCCTCAGTAGTATAAATACCGAATCTCATGTCATTAACATCATTACGCTTTCAGCAATTGAGCCGTAAACATCACCACCAGTACCGATTCCTCACAAAAAACAAAATGGGAGTCTGGACCTTCATTTGCCACCATCACACGTTGGGGCCGAGAATGAAATCATAGCAGGGAGTCGCTGGAAGATGGTCCCAGGTCAGAGCGTCCAAAAACTGACTTTACCATAGTTTTTTTTTGGATTGTAAAGGTATTCTGTTCGTCGACTATCTTCCTAAAAAAACTGTAATGAACGGAGACTGTCATGCCATATTGTTGCCAAAAGTGCATCTCTAATTTGAAGAAAAGCCTCCGAAGACGAAGATTTTCGAGTGCAGAAGAAAGGAAGGCGGCGGTAGACGAGCATTTCGATGACAAAGCCGCCGAGTATTTTTTCACTCAGTTAAAAGCCCTTTATGATAAGTGTAAGAAGTGCATTGAGGTATAGTCATAATATATAGAAAAATGAAATTTTTATACATGAGGCAACGTTTGAACGAATCAGATTTAGTATATCGTCCACTTAGCTGTTGTTGTTATTGTTGTTGTGGTGGTAGCGGCTACAACAACCCCGCCCAGATCGGTTAATATCTCAGTCGTTGTCGTCAAGCCCAACTAACGGAAGCCTCAAGAATCGTGCAGCCTCAATGAGGTCCACAGGGACAAAGGCGTTAGCTGTGTCGGGTTTTCCGGGCATACGAAGATATGTTCGAAGAGATACATCTGCGTCGAATCTGCTCAGGTATGAGTTTACCCTGCTGCAGTAGCCCGAGCGAAGTTGCTTAATGAACCTCTGGACTTCGTCCGCCGGTTAGTAAAGATGCCTTGTGACATGCCTTGGCGAGCGCTCCTCGTCAAGCAAGTGTCGGTTCGGGTGTCCACGTCTGTGGCTCCCTACTAGGAATTGCTTGCAGAGCATTGTGTTGTGCTTCTTTATGGGGAGCATTTTCGTCTCGTCGTGCACGTGGTGTTCTGGCGACATCAGAAGACATCCAGTCGCTGTCAGAAGTGCAGTGTTTTTAATCGTCTGCAGCTTCATCCTCTGCGTCCTACTAGTCCCCTGCTTCCACATTGGTACTGCTTAATTTAAAACCGGCCGGCCTATTGCCTTGTATGTTGCCAGTAACGTTTTTTTGTCTTTGCTCCAAGTACTGCCGGCTAGCCACCTAAGGACTTTGTTGCGGTTCTGTACTTTGTTGACAATAGCGGTTGCGTCCGCAGAGAAGGAAAGAAGACTGTGGAAGGTTACTCCGAGTATTTTGGGGTTATTCACCGTCCCAGGCGCCATTATCGAACAATCGCCAGCATAGGAGACAATCGTAACTCTCTCTCTGGTGGTTGAGGGAGCTTTGAAATATAGTAGTTAAACAGTAATGGGGAAAGGACAGCACTCTGTGGAAGCCTCTGTTTTATTTTTCAAGGTTTGCTCGATTTGTCTTTAAACATTACTGATGAGTGTGGACCACCTAGATAATTCGCCGATCGCCGTTTGAGCCTCTGTGGGAGAGAGGAGGCCTCTATGTTTTCTAGCAGCGTGGAGCGGCTGACGGTGTCAAACACCTTTGACAGGTCCAGCGCTATTAGAATAGTTTTCTGACAGGGACGGTTGCGGTTTAGGCCACGCGTTATCTGCGTGTTTATGGCATTAAGTGCTGTTGTTGTACTGTGCACTTTACGGAAACCATGCTGATGCTTCGTTGAGGTCGCGGGGTTTATGAAATACGGGAGTAGCAAGGCCTCTAGTGTCTTCGCTACCGGGGAAAGGAGAATTTTCGGACGATAAGCCTTCCTTCGTTGGCTGGTTTCTCCGGTTTGAGCAGTGGGACCACTCTCCCCATCTTCCAGATGTCTTGAATGATGAGAGTGGCCATTAACAGATTGCGGACCTCCGTTAGATACGCTACTCCCGCAGGACTCCAATTTTTCAGCATAAACATGCGTATTCCGTCGGGCCCCATGGTTTGGAGGCTTTCGCCTTACCGATGGCCAATCGAACTTCACCGCTAGTGAAAGCAAGAGGGGCACAGGTGGTTGGCAGTTTGTGCAGCCTTCTGGTCACTCGACGCTTGGCTTTGTCCGCCGGAGGATGCATTATGAATTACCGGCTAAAGTAGCTCGCGCATCGCTCTGGGTCCGACGAAGCATGGTAGCCGAAAGAAATTTTGACCCTGTCGTCGTGCTTAGTCGGATTGGACAGTGACCTCACTGTTGACCAAAGCTTATCGCGATCGGGCCCTCCGCAATCGTTGAAGTCAAACTCAATTAACGGGTGTGGGAAGAGGTGTCACGAGTCGTGAGATGACTCCGCATGCCGGGTATTTCTTGGGACACAACTGCATTTATCTTGGTCAGGTAAAACCAACTGAAGTTCGGTTGCCATCCCTACTCGACCCATTAGACTCCACGGAATATGTATGTTAGTGTTTGGCCGAGCTTCTCCTCCGATTGGTGGCGTGTGCCTTGATGTTGTTTGTGGAGGTTTGCCATTGCTTGTCGAGGGGTGACCGCTGTTAAGAAAAAACTTTTCTATATTTTTCGTGATGTTGCTTTGACCAAGGATTGAACCCAGGCCATGAGGAGTGGAAGCGCGCACTGCTTACCACTACACCACAGCGGCCGCCATAATATACTTATACAGTGCCGGACAAAAGTATTGGCACAGAGAATTTTTCGCAATATCTGAAAAGTTTTTTTATTCTAATTTATTTTCGATAATTTTTTATAAATATATAGTTCGTCCTACACCAAAAAACACAAAAACTAAATCTCTAAATTTTGTGCAAAACTCAGGAAAATTCAATAAATTTGCATACTTATTTGCAACTTTCTATTCAGATTTTTTAGAAAAATTCTAAGTATGTAGTTTTATAGCTCAACTAATTTTAGCAAAACAAAGTGCAAGCTTGAAGGTGCTAAAAAATCGCATTGATTGTTGGGAATTTGTTTTCAGTCAGTTCTTCCGTACAAAGTATGTTCGACAATTATTTTTTGTATGGAGAAAATGAGCAACACCTTCTACTAAAAAAATGTCCAAAAATCAACGCAATTTTTTAGATACTTCAAACTTGCACTTTGTTATACTAAAATTAGTTGGGCTATAAAACTACATACTTAGAATTTCTCTAAAAAATCTGAATAAAAAGTGCAAATTAGGATGCAAATTTATTGAATTTTCCTGAGTTTTGCACAAAGTTTAGAGATTTTGTTTTTATGTTTTTTGGTGAAGTACGAACTTTATTTTTATTAAAAAATATTGAAAATAAATTAGAATAAAAAACTTTGCATTTATTGCCAAAAATTCTCTGTGCCAATACTTTTGTCCGGCACTTAACGACGATTGTTAGATATTGTCGTTCGGCAATGGAATTGATGACATACATATGTTCTGCGCCCGATTGTTAAGACGTCGTGGCGTCGTACTTTTGCTGTTTAGTCGGCTTTTTTCGGCCGAGTAAAAAATTGTTGAATGTAAAANAGACGTCGTGGCGTCGTACTTTTGCTGTTTAGTCGGCTTTTTTCGGCCGATTAAAAAATTGTTGAATGTAAAAAAAAAGGAATTAGCACCCTCTGCATCACCAGAAGTGGTGACACGGTGGAGTAAATTGCCACCGCTTGCCGGAAGAGCCCCAGCCAAAGTGCAGAGTTCGTAAATCACTTACCAACAGCATTTGGACATATATATAGATTAGAGATAGGCACGGGCAAAAATTTCAATCCCGATCAATCCCATCTCGAAATTCAACCTCTTACGACCTTTTACGACCTCGCTTAAACTGAACTACTAATTATTTAGCCGCTGTAAACGAAGTAGTAGAATCCCCCAGAGTAGAATTTAACTCTTATTTGATATCGGTTGGACTAAGACCTTCGGATGTATGCCTCAGGGTTTATTCGATCGAGGGCTGTTGTTTTGGCGATCTAACTTTGCTGTTCAAGCCTTACGTCACCTTCCGCCTCCAACTAACGGCCCTCGGAGCTCGCATGAGCAACCAATCAACTCTGCGAATTGTCTGAGAAGTCGTCAGTAGCCTTTGGCAATCAAACATCAACTTCAAGAAGGATAAGGCAAGGCGTCCCACAGGGGTGTGTAGTGTCCCTGCTACTGTTTAACTTCTACATCTCCGATCTCACCAACCGCACTAGGAGTAAAAGCCCAACTTGCGCAACCTATTTGAAAATTATCGTCTAAACATGGTTGCGCCCATTTGGCATCACAATCGAATGAGGTTTAGAAATAAAAGAGACTGATGCTTTGTATTTTGACGTTTTGGAATGCACCCTGTTTCCCTGATCCCATACTCTGACGAGTGGAACTGATGACCAGTGTTCGAAATTTCTCGCTTCTTATTTAATTGCATGGAACCGAACCATATCTTGGATTAGGGATCTACGTCGATGACGCACCAATTCCTACGGAAAACAGCCTGTAAATTGTAGGGGTTACGTTTGATGGCTTGCCAACCCCGTATACAACTGCCATTGCCAACAAAGTACAGAGCATCAACAAGGTCATTAGTCCGCTACCCAACAGAACTTGGGGCAAAGACAAAGAGATGTCGTGGGCAATTGATAGACAAAGCTTCAGACTTCCTAGAACTCAGCTCTCGGGACAGTGAAGGGGTACATCTTGATATTACCCAACACTACGTACACAGTGAAACTTCTGTGCTCCCACTTTAAAGCAACCTAATGTTCAGCAAGCAATTTGTGGTTGGCTGTAACGAATTTACGGACAGCGTATGGTCAAGCGATTTAAGGCAAACCCGCATAACTCTGGCCCAGTTAACGTCTGGATAATGCGGAAATGCGGATGCGACCAGGTTTCGAAAAAAGTGTTGGTTAGGGCTTTTGTGAATTAAGTTAACGATATTCACATTCCATCGGATTTCAGAACCTGCGTGCCCTTAGCATGGATCAAACAAATCTGTTATAATCAATCAAAATCCTTTTTTTATCAGACATAACCCGCGCAGGATTTTCTGAAATTATTGATCATATTCGAGTCTTTTTTGAGTCCTCTGTGCGATTAGAACAATCATAAATGTGCTCATATATCTAATCATAAAAATAGTATTTTGTCGGTAGAAAATGGTACCCTCCTGGCCGCGACTCTTGACGAGTCTTCTGATCAGTTTTGACCCTTTTTCTAGTCGTATTTATATTTATTTGTGACGGTTATTTAAATGATATTTCAGTTGTATTTCTTATCATTTGCGAGTATTTTTTGAGACATTTTTTAGTCGTATTTGTAAATTTTTCTGTGCCTCTTTCAAGTAATTTTTCAGTTGGTATTTCTAATTATCTTCGAGTCTATCCCCGAGTCCTTTTTCCGTCTTCTCATATCGTTTGCGATGGGAAAAATTAAATAAGTAATAAGTTAATTTATAATTAGCAAATAAGCATATTATATTAAGTTTAAAAGAAGCGTTAATAAAATACCGAAATGGTTCTTGAATAAAATCCATTATTACAGTTGAAAATATTTGAAAATTACCCTCCCAGATAAAATTAATTGACACAGAGAACTTTTTACAATGTATGCAAAGTTTTTTATTACAATTTATTTTCGCAAATTTTGTATAAAAAACATAGCTCATATTACAAAAAAAAACATAAAAATAAAATGTATAACTTTATGCAGCATTCAGAAAGTTAATAGGGGTATTCTCTGAGTCTTGCAAAGCCCTTGCACGGTGCACGGATTGCACGGTTTGCAAAGCTGTCCCATACGAAAACCGGTTTTTACCGTGCAATCTGTGCACCATGCAAGGGCTTTGCAAGACTCAGAGAATACCCTTTATGAGTTTTCGACTTTTGAAAGAGATCTTCTAGAAAGATTTCAGAGTATGCAATTTTAATACAATAAAGTGCATGTTTCCAGTTACTAACAAATCGCGTTGATTTTTGGCAATGTTTTTCTTTCTAACAGTGCCTTCCGCATATAGAAGACATAGTCAGAAAAAAATTGCCAAAAACCGCGTTGGAAATTTATTGAATATTCCTGAGTTTTGCACCAAGTTTTCACATTTTATCTTTATGTTTTTGACGTAATAAAAAAGGCGAAAAGAAATTAGTTAAAAAACTTTGCACGCATTGTGAAAAGTTCTTTGTGAAAATAATATTGTCCGTACGTGTATAAAAATTAAAAATATTCCGCCTCATTGCGAGTCGTGTCGAATTCTAGTCGTTTTTCTAGGGTCGAATCGTATCGAAAATTTCACGTCATTGCCAAAAATTTATGCTCGACTAGTGTATTAAAACGGAAAAACTTGCAGCACTGTATATTTTTCGACGATTTCGACGATCGCGCTTCCACTCCGCAGCACCTGGGTTCAAGCCCTGGTCAAAGAAACATCGCAAAAAATATAGAAAAAAGATTTTTTCTTAACAGCGTTTGCCCCTCGGCAGACAATGGCAAACCACCGAGTGTATTTCTGCCATGAAAACCGGCTTCTCGTAAAAAGGCAATCGCCGTTCGGAGTCGGCGTAAAACTGTAGGTCCCACCGCCTAGTGTGACAACATCAAGGCGCACGCCACATATCTGAGGAGAAGCTCGGCCAAACACTAACATATGTGTAAGCGCCAATCTATTATTATTATTATTATTATGGGTGACCAAAATTAAGAAATCCATTTTACGAATTGCGCGAGGTCTTCGGAAGCGTTTATAATCTTTTAATCATCAAAGGTGATCGAAGAAGACTCAGTAAAGTGATTTTTAATGAAGTAATCTTTCAAATGCTAGGTGGGATAACAACTGTGATTCCATCTTGTTGTCGAGTTGTAGTCTGTAGGAAACGTACCGTACATGTGGCCTGAAAATATATACTAAAAAGAGTAAATAGTTATGTATATATGTATATACATACATCATGTATCTGAACATATTACGTTGAAAAAAAGTATTGCACTACGATTAAAATTCTTTGAAAATTCTAAAAAAAATGCCTGAAAATAACGAAAAGGTTATCATAAAAAGTCAAGGACATTTTTCTGCTTACAAATATCGCTTTATTCTACATGAATTTTATTAAACGTTTTCTTCTACGCACATTATAATTGGTTTTATACGCAATAGTACAATAATGCATGTTAAATATTTTTTGCTGTTTTTTTTTTTTAAATTTTTATTTTCAAAAACATTCGCACTAATAAGAAGCGAACATTTTGAAACAAAAGAAAAGACCCTGTATCTGTATGTATATAGTAGAGCCATGCATGAGCAAGTAAAATTATGTAGCATATTAATTATAAGTGATTGATCATGATTTCTGTTCTTGTTTCATTTTTGTAGCTCATAAACTCTTGGGAGTTGCTGCTGCAGTAATGTATGTATGTACATATGTATATGAATATGGATCATGCGGTAAGGTGGTGGCAATTACTGTGCGGACAGGATCATACGTTTCATATCTATTGACACAACTGAAATTATTTGCGTCGGATTATTCTAAAATGCTAAAAATAATATATTTAATAAATATTTTGTTTTCCATTGGGGTACACGATTTCAGTATCGCGAAATTTCAGCTAACCTATAACCTGGCATTCATTTCAAAATAAGATTTGATTTGTTGTTGTAACGTCGTACAAATTCCCCAAAGAGTTTTGTTTTTGTCCTTTCCTGGCGATTTGACGGCGAATTCATGCTACCAAAAGTTCGTGTCGTGTACTTCATCAAATCATTTTACTCTTATAAATTGTAACTTTGCCACAAATCTATAAATGTATACATTATTTTCTACTTACTCATGCGGCTCCTTAGTATATAATTAATTTACATGGACAATACATATTGCACAGCAGTAAGTAACTCATTACGTTTAGCAGCTGGTTATAGTTAGTTTTAACATCGAAATTACAATGTTTTATTGTTTTTAATAGTTTTCTCCATTACCTCGTATTTACGTTTTGATACAGTCATCTTTGTATACATATTTATCTGTTGGGTCTATGGGTTATTATTATCGGCTGTTCTCTTTTATTGGGATTGCTGGCCAACATGGCAATTGTTCTTGTGTCTTATAACATTAGCTTCTTCATCATTGCTTTTTTTTGTTTGAATAATATTTCCATGGCGTTTTTAACAATTATGAATCCTGACATGATTAATAAGAGTGCTTTTCTGCCGAAATTGTTTAGGGCAATAGGAACAGCTGTAAGGCTTTTCGCCAGTATGTATTTTCAGATGGTTATTCAAGGTGGACAGTTGTCGGAAGTTCGACTCGCACACTTTGCACTTATATGGCTTCTCACCGGTGTGCGTCTTAATGTGGTTGGCTAAGGTGCTCTGTTGTGAGAAAGCTTTGCGGCAAATAGCGCATGGAAAAGGGCGATCAGGGCTCTCCAACATTAAGCTATCTGCCTCGTTTTTGAAACGACGACTGGTGTTGGGATTGAACGGCTCTTTTGGAACAATGGTGCTTACAGTTGTGTTACTATCGAGGAAATGCAATAATGGATGCTCTGCTTGCAATTGTTGATGTACCATGTTGTTTAGTTGGGGATGTTCTCCTTGTGCAACCAGTGTTGAAGTCATGTGGTTGATGCCGTGTGGGGCTGCCATTGTGGTGGTGGTAGTTGACACTGCGTTTGCATTGCTGGCGGCTGTATGCGTGTAAATTTAAATAAAAGCTTTGTTAGGGGGAAATTGGAGTTATAATTCCTCAGTTGGACGGCGAACACACAAAAGGCTCACCTGTGGTGTGGGTCTTCATGTGGTTGGTTAGAGTACTCTGCTGTCGGAATTGCATGGAACAAAAGGAACAAGCGTACGGCTTATCACCGGTATGAATCTTTTTGTGATTTGTCAAAGTGGCCAGTTGACTGAAGGATTTGTCACATGTTTCACATTTATACGGCTTGGGATCGATGTGTGTCCGCTCATGATTGTGTAACGTACTTAGCTGCGGAAAACGTCTTTTGCAAACATTGCACTGATAGGGTTTTACCAGCTCGTCGGCCTGCGGTGAGCTATAGCTGCCAGTGTAAAGTGTTTTTGTAATGGATCGATTTTGATAGTCTACCATTTGATTTTGAGCCAATTTGGAGTTGCGATGATTCAATTTTGTACCAGGCTGATAGTTGAGTAATGAGGTTGGGGTACTCGATTCTGTAATATAAAAATGATAATAGCGTTTAGAAATTGTTAAGCTTAATATCAGTTGTTAACCTTTATGAGTTTTGATGTGGTTAATTAGTGTACTTTGCTGGCGAAAATCTTTAGCGCAAATATTGCATGTAAACGGTTTTTCCCCGGTATGAATTTTCACATGATTGGTGAGCGTTGAAATCTGACGGAAAGCTCTATCGCAATGTTTACACTTGTACGGCCGCTCGTCTGTGTGAATTTTCATGTGATTGCGCAAAGTAGTTAACTGACGAAATTTATTCTTGCAGACGTGGCATTCCTTTTTTTTGCGCGGATCATCTATTTTCACTTCAATAGGTTCGGGTTCCGGCAATTCGATTTTAGTCGGTGGCAATGGAGTTGGATTCGGTGTATTCGTGGAGGAAATATCGAGTAGGTGTACCAGTGGGTGTTGCGGATGTAGCATAGCCTGGTGTGTCGGATGTTGTATGGCTTGCACAGCAGTCAACTGATGCAGCGTAAATGGTGTGCTACCCGTCGCTATAGTAGTATGCTGTTGCACCGTGGTGGGCGTGCCACCGTGCGTTGAAATCTGCGGCGGCGGATAGTGCTGGTAGTTAGCCATTGCAGTAGCGTGATTGAGGTGCATCTTTCATGAGGTATCGGAGAAAATCGATATAGTTTATATTTTTATTGTCTGCGTTTGGACCACAAATTCATAAAATGCCTACAAAATATAATTGCAAATAATTATCAATCACCAGAGGACGCTGTGGTAGAATTTTCTCACCGTTCAATTGTTATTTTAGGCAGTCTGCAAAAGCAACGTGCCACCCGTCCGTTTTCAACTATATGTATTCACAACAAAACTACAAAAACTCCACTAGAAAAACACTTTACATTTCACCAAGTATTTATCTTCATATTGTAATACCAATAATATGCATTTTAAATGGGTATTTTTTTGATTTCTATAAAATTCGACGCTCAAGGATGAAAAATTTTCAGGAAAAGAAAACAAACCAGCTGGGCTGGTCAGTGTCAAGCTATCAAAACAAAAATGACAGTTGGCAGTGTTGTAGCTTCCTTTTAGATAGCGTGGGTTTTGTGGTGAATACACGAAAATATGCTACCATTTGGGTATATTGAAAAAGAATTTTGAAATTTTCATATTTAAAAGCAAAATTTTTTTAATTTAAATGCTGTGGGATTAAAGAGACTTATTATTTACAGATGCAGTTCTTTATTGAAACCAAAAACTGAAGAGTTGCATCAGCTTCGACATTTCCTATACCATAACTATCTGGCAACTTTGATAAGGTGTGAGGTACACACCACCCTGATTGGAATGTGGTGACATTTGGCATCTTTGTTTTTTCTGTCTTGTCAGAATTTGTGTTAAGTTGTTTTGGGATCGATTACTTGAGCTTATCAAAGACGGCGTTGATTAAACGAAATTCAATATCTAGTTATATTAGGCACTTGTCTCTAATAACGACTAAATTGGCAGTGATGAGTGAGAAAGAAACACCGGGAACTTCAAAAAAGCAAGGCGAAGATGGACCACGAAACCAGAGTAAGCATTCTGAAAGCCTTGTGGATGCCCAGGCAACGAGTGGTAAGTGTGTATACAGCGATATTTTGGATGCATTAAAGCATTTTTCAGCATATATTTTTAACAAAATATTGCTGCTTGGTAGTAGTTGTGCTAAAATTCGGTATGATAATGTATATTTTCATCAACATTAAAAATAATAAAAATGCATGTTGTGCTGCCGTCTTCCTGAATTTACTGCAAAATGCATACCTGCGCTTAATGGGATGCCACGCCGACCGGTTTTTATGCACGACGGTTGTAAGGTATGGGAATTGTATAAATGGTACAGTAGGGTTAAAAAGGCGTTGACAGCCTGTTGCCAATTTGGTAGGAAATGCATATCTGTTAGCGATCACTTCCTCTCTTAACAGTTGGAAAAAATAGTAAGTAAAAGTATTTCTCCGATATTAAAAATTGCGACATTCCAAAATGCATAAAGACAGTGTCACACGATTAGCACATTAGTAGATTTTCATAAATTTTTTATATTGGGCTATTGGTAAAAAATAGGGACGAGTTTTTTTTGTTGTGGTATGTAGTCACGATTGGTGTAATACAGCGCTCTTCTATTGAAAAATTGTAACAAATTTGCACCAAATTTTTGGGAAATACCCAATCGTGTGACTCCTTAATTTTTTTTTGCCTATTAACGGGGATTTCTTGTATGAAAATCCCGAATATAATGATTTTAACGTTTCTAAAATATTTCTAAATAAATTTATTGTTTTATTTTCGTAACGTAGTTCAAAATTAGTATGGTTCAAAAACAATAAAAATTTGTATGAAAAATACTTTCGAGATTTTAAGTTGTTCGTATTTAAGGCTATCCCTAGCTACAATATTTTACATGAATGCAGTGCAATTATTTAAAATATGTGTATTCATTACTGCTTTTATTTTTTAGAAAGATTGGAATCCATTCGGACGAACTTAAACAGCCTCTTTTCTAGGCTCACTCTGCATGCTGCTAGTGACAACCTGCTGGCACAACAATCCGGCCAGGTATGTAAAACTAGCAATAAAATTCCTTTATAAACCTTGGCTTACATAATATATATACTACATACATATGTACTTATGTATGTACATACGTATGAATAAATTGGTTTCATTTTATAGGTCTTGGAAGATTTAACTTTTGAAAGCTTCCTGAAACATTGGAAAGACAACGGATTTAAAAGAATTATTACCATGGTTGGTGCCGGAATATCTACTTGTAAGTTGCATTTAGTAGGTGTGAACCAGGCAAAATAGAAAAATAACGAATGTATTTCTCTTATACATACATATGTACAATTTTAGCTTCTGGCATACCGGATTTTCGCTCACCTGGTTCGGGCCTGTATGACAACTTGCAAAAATATAATTTACCGCATCCGACCGATATATTTGAATTGGATTACTTCATGGGTAATCCAAAGCCCTTTTTTACTTTGGCCAAAGAACTTTATCCTGGACATTATATCCCATCACCGGCGCATTATTTTATACGTTTATTAAATGATAAAAACTTGTTAACCCGGCATTATACGCAGAATATTGACTGTCTAGAGCGTTTAGCAGGTATACCAGAAGAGAAATTGGTCGAGGCACATGGCACATTTCATACAAACCATTGCGTCGACTGCAACAAATTTTATACGAAAGAATGGTTGAAGGAAAAAATATTTGGTGACATTTTGCCAGTATGCGAAGAGTGTAATGGTATTGTTAAACCGNTATATCCCATCACCGGCGCATTATTTTATACGTTTATTAAATGATAAAAAGTTGTTAACCCGGCATTATACGCAGAATATTGACTGTCTAGAGCGTTTAGCAGGTATACCGGAAGAGAAATTGGTCGAGGCACATGGCACATTTCATACAAACCATTGCGTCGACTGCAACAAATTTTATACGAAAGAATGGATGAAGGAAAAAATATTTGGTGACGTTTTGCCAGTATGCGAAGAATGTAATGGTATTGTTAAACCCGATATCGTTTTTTTCGGCGAAAATATGCCAGATCATTTTTACACCAAGCCCCTGGAAGATTTTGCCGATTGCGACCTTTTGATTATTATGGGTACATCTTTGGAAGTGTATCCCTTCGCTTCATTGGTTGCTAACGTTAAACCGAATTGTATACGCGTGCTTATAAATAGAGTGGCTATTGATAAATTTTCGGGTCCGGATAAGAAACGCGATATAACGTTTTTAGGTGACTGTGACGATGCTGTATGGCAAATGGCCGACGTATTAGGTTGGACAAATGAATTGAAGGATTTGTGGAAACGAGAAAGCAGTCTATTTGAACAAGCTCGAAAGAAATCGGATACCAATGCCGACCAAGAAGCTAAAAGTCCGAGAATAAGTAAAAAGAATTCACGGTAAATACCACAAGCGTATAGATTATTAAAATTAGTAGTAAAACTGGGGTGGTGCAATAGATTTATAAACATGGAAAAGTTAAACAATTGGTGGATATAATCTAGTAGAAAAATATATTGACATCTATATCTATAGCTCTCGGCAATAACTACACAACTCAAAATTCAGAAAATAAAAACTCATTACTGTTACGTGACCCTAATCCTTGCGTAATCCATGTCTTATATTTACTACTTACTGTAGTAATCCTTACTACTTTAGTAAGGATTAGAAATTAATTAGATTAAGGCATTTTGTTTTTTGAAATTTGAACTGCGTCGTTATTGCAGAGGACCATCGATATATACAGATATGTATATGTATATAGAAATAGAAAATTATTGTGGTTTTCACACTTGCCTAGTTATCAGGTTATCTGGTGAAAAAATATTGTGTCGTGTATTTTATTGTTGTAAACTGAAAAAAAAAATATAACCACATAACCTGATAACCAGTCAAGCGTGAACAACCTCATTGTCTTTAAAAACAATAAAAAGGAACAAATGAAAAGAGAAATCACTCAAAAGTCTAAATTAATTTCATATTTATATATATAGGGCTCTATATTTAAAAGAATTAAGCAGGGTTCGCGGGGTTTGGTTTCAAGCCCTGGTCAAAGTAACATCGAAAAAAATATATAAACAAGTAATTTTTAGAAAAAAACCCGACTTCAATTCTCATATAAAAAATATATATATGTATATATATGCATATATATATATTTCATGATCCAATGATCTGATCTAAACCAAATTAGTATGGGACCACCTCTGAGACACTACCTTTCCGATGCAAGAAAAATTATCGAAATCGGTTGACGTGGTCCAAAGTTATGCGGTAACATACATAAAAAAAAATATTCCGTCGAACTGATGGCGGAAGTTCCTTTTTTGGATGTAGGTTAAAAAAAGTTTTTTGTGTAAAAAGAGTAAGGCGTGCGCCACAAATCGGAGAAGAAGCTCGGCCAAACACACACATATTGGGCCGTATGCATAAAAACTTAGCCATTGCATTTTCTTAAAATTTCATACCTTTCACTTAAATTCATTTGAACAAATCGAGTAAATGATATGAAATTTTAAGAAAAAGCAATGGCTAAATTTTTGTGCATACGGCCCATTGTGTAAGCGCTAATATATTATTATTATTATTATTGTTATTAGACAAGGACCGAGAACAAAAGGTATGGTCGAAACTAAACTAAATATATATAAAAATGTGTATGAATGCTGCATCTACTTATCGAAATGTCAACTGACAAACGCGTGCAAGCGCATACTATGGAGTTGCTCAGTTTTTACGCACGTAACCGCTTGTCAACGGATCTCGCATTTGCACGCATACGCTTGCCTATGGAGTTCCAGCTTTAGTTTCCACGCATGTGCATTAAGTTCTTGATCGCCATTTCCCAGAAAGTGGCCATTGTTTTGTATCAGTACGTACTCGATACTTTTCGTTCGATACTTTTGAACCAAGTACTGAGTAGGTAATGAAAACAAATACCCGTATCGAAACCTGATACTAAGGCAAATTTGACCTCGGCAATTTTTCCTCCACTGTAATACCTAAGCGCGTTGTTCTTCATGGCTGTTAAATTGCCAGCAAAAACCGTGATAAGGCGACAAAGTCGATATAATGCAAATATCATACGCTCCAACTGCTTCACCCAAGTCGATATAATGCGACGTATACGAGGTCCAACTGAGCGATTGGAGAAGTAAAGGCCCCACCAGATAGAAAATCTTTTCTGCGTCACAGGGATACCTGGATGGATTGACTGACAAAACGCACAGAACATGGCGAGGCGGCACAATGAAAACGGTGCCGCAAACAAAACGGGTTAATTTGATTGGTAAAAAATCAGCTGGTTTGAATTCGTTCCATACATTTTTGTTGTTGTTGTTGATTTGCCGCATATCTGTGCGTCAAAAGTTGTGAGCCTTAACTGGATGAATGCTCAGGATAGACGTTGTAAAGCCATCCTAAACTCACTCTTTAGGCGCGACTGCTAACATCGGGCGCCTAAATGCATTCTATGTACTGCTCCTCCGGACAATACTTTACTCACTGATTGCCGCTATTAGATTCCGTTCACATGACAGGCGTTTCACATCAGAGGAAATGCGCGAGCAATGTACGTACACTGAATAAGGCAATACGTCGCGAGATCAGTAGGCTGCAGAAGCTGCCAAAAAACAGTACGTCCCTCGCCCTTACTAGCGGTTTCGTCTAGGTGGCCGTCCGAGAGGCAAAAGCTAGCGCATCTAGTATTTTAGACGTACGTACACTCCGAGGGCTAAACATTGACTTGGACCATATCCACAGGACTGTGCATCAAAAAAAATTATATACATATATATAGGGAATTGAAGGGGTAAGCGCAAGGCATATTGATGGAAAGAAATACCAGAAAGAGAAGGACTTGAGTTCAGTTCACAAAGAAAAAAGGAAACAACTAGCATGCTTTATTAGACTCGGCCAGAATCGCAGTTACAGCGTATACCAAGAAAAGGAAGTTTCATTCGCGTAGATTTGCTTAAGGATCCGATAGATGTTGATGAAGGTCTTATAAACAAAAATTCAGTTTAATAAAGGAGTTAAAGTTAACAGATTCGTATTCGAGAAGAAACCGTCATTAAAACAGACATAGCTATTATGACACCTTTAAAGGAGATTAAATATTTGAACGAGTTATCGCTCATTACCAACAAACGTCGACGCAACGACGACAAAAGATTGTAGCAAATGGTTAAAGGGAGAAGAGGCAATAGCAAGCCACCTATGCACCTATGCAGCCATAGCATGGCGGAAGATGGATTAGGCGATACTATTGTTGGCTTTTAGTTGCCTGCTGTTGATGGACGTAAAATAAAAAAATAAAATACGAGCAACCGCAGTACAGTGCAGCAATGCAAGAGCACATCGAATGTTTATGCCCCTGCGTATGAATCGAATGTTTGCATTGTCTCTTTTACGATTTCTAAGTATGTACATACATACATAGAGTGTGGCTAAGTGCGGCAAGTCGAACTGCTGCAGTTAGTTGATGAAGTTTCTGTGGTAAATTGGCCGATAGAAAATAATTCAGTTGCACTAATTAAACTCAGACGCACAGCAAGCAGCTCGCTTTCTTCTCTTTCATTCGACTCGACTCTATTTATTGCAGAAATGCTCCAGATTTGAGCAAATGGCCCGCGTATGAGCGAATGCGTATACCGTAAACTTTATTTATGTTGCATTATCAGGCAACAGAAGAGTGATACATATGCGCATATGCATCTATATTTCAGCCGCAATTAATTGCATGTGGGAAATCAACCTCAAAAATAACGTTAATGTGGCAAATAAAAAAAGCACGTTTAACTTATGTACATATTTATGTACAGCGTGTAAAATAAAATAAAGAAGATTGGTGCCATTTTTCCGCTGAGTTAAAACCTGGGCGAAATTTCCTTTTAACCCCCTTTTCGAATTTCTTGCTTTACTTGTCGGGAAAAATCTTTTTGAAAACAAAATGTTCCAGACATTTGCACTGCATTGGGATCAGATGGCCTATAAATATAATGTTAAGAAAATATTCAAACTTTTTTTTGGCCCTTTTATCGAAAAATTGAATTTGATGCAGTTGAGTTTCTTAACCTTAACACGTGAATGCCAGTCGCACAATGGACCCTCCGAAGCCCCACCTATAGCGAGAAGGATCTGGAAATTGCGCATGCCCTAGCGTTAGCCCAACACACGCTCAATTGTCCAAGAGTGAACCGCAGGAGGACAGAGGTGTACCCAGTTGCTCTATATCCGGCGATAACGTTTCAACCAGTCCTTTCCTTGCCAGGTCATCAGCCACGCAGTTTCTCGCAATGTTACTTTGGCCGGGCGCCTAATTGAGCCAAATAAGGAAGTACTCCGACGGGGTGTATAGAGAGGTCAGACATTCCCGTACCGATTTCAAGCGCACCGTCATATCCTTCATATCCCTGATCTATTTGCTACTGGGAGTCGCCCGGTTTCTCCGAGCCTAGTAGTAGTTTGTGCTGCGACAATTCTCTTTGCAATATCTACATATAGGCGCAATGTTCAACATGACGTTATGCGTCAGTGTACATAGGTGTACCCAATAATGCCGGTGCCCCAATAATGCCGGTTAAGGCTGCACACGCTCCAGTTGCTTAACCAATATAGCTTTCTCTATTGAATTCCAACAGGCAAGCGCTCTGTAAAACAAGATAGGCTTAACTATAGTTTCATAGGACCAATGAATTACTTCGGGCGACAGTCCCCAGGCAGAAGAGGGCATACGCTTTTCACGTTAAGAAGATGGATAGTATCGTTTGCGATTTGTAGAAAATCAAGACAACGCTGACTACGTACCAATATCATTAAGTATGGCATGGGTAATATTATTGCCGAAGGCAAGCAGAAATTGGCACGGCCCACTAGCCAAACTTCGTTTCTCCTGAAGATTTTTGAAAGGCTGATAGGTGCGCACATCCAGTTAAATAAAGATGGGCGGTTTCAATCTACACAGTAAACAACATGTTAGTGCAACGGCGCAATGGGGTATGTATGATACCGTTACCTCGACAATTTTAAGGAGAACGTAGGGTGGGAGTTGAGGACCCTGATAAGCAGACATTTTTATTATAAAAGTAACACCGTTTTTATGTAAATTTTGAATTAAAAAAAGCGGGCTTTGTCATGTGTTGTCTTTAGCTGCATGTAAAAACAAGACTATACTTCCCGGGTTGCTTTTGTTACCGACCAATGACATGTTAAATAGTACAAAGGTACATTATTACCTGCTCCTTAATTTAAATCTATTACATTCTAGAGTGTCGCAGTCCCTTACGCAAAAAACCGGCATTCGCTTTTTTCTATTCCAAATAGCAACTGTATTTTTTATTTGATTATCCTTTAAACATGTTCGTATTTAAAAATGTCCATACAATAATTACAGGTATTGTCTTCCCAGAGAGCGCATATTCTGATCTGCCTTATTTAAAAAATATCATTGTTGCCCACACTGAAACGTTTACTGCTAGGGAAAAGGGATATTTCCATACCCCATATACCATATACATATTTTAAACAAACAATCTTGCAGAGAACTTATTTAAGTTGCAAAAGCCGGTAAAAAATATTTGCTTGTAAATAAATTCAAAAATTGTATGGCTCAGTTCATTTCAATTTTTTTTTCTTTTGTTTTGAATTTCAATTTGATTACTTTTTTTCTAAATGAAAGCTAATAAAATTTGCAAGAGACCAGTTGAACCCACGATCCAGAAAATAAAGCTCGCGCCATTCGCGGACCGCTAACCCCCTCTTCGTCGATTTGACAGCATCCACCCAATCGCAGACGTCATAAAATACTTTTGTTTACATACACTATTGCCAACTTGATGCTTTTCACACCAAATTTAATGGGTATTCAAAACGCGAA